AAACAGCGTGGGGGCTCGCGGTTGTTGGCCAGGACGTGAACGGTTTCGCTTTTCTCGGGTTCGCTGGGCAGAGACTTGAGGGGTCGATTCCAGGAGAGCTCATCGGCAGTAAGAAGTCGAGTACTGTTGTGGAAATGGCTGGAATGAACTGGGCGATGCTATGCGCCGCATGCTTCCCAGCCGACGGCCACGTCACCATCGAGGTTGATAATAAAACGGCCCTCAAGCTCACAGTCGGCGAGTACAGATCTAAGGAAAATAAGGCCCTGGCAAGGGTCCTAAATCTGCTGTGTGAGGAGTTTTGCAGGAGGGGAAGGATTGTGTGCAAGCATGTGCGAGCGCACCGAGGTCAGCCATGGAATGAGATGGCCGACTGTATAGCTAAGCATATGTCCAAGCACCCACCACCCGACCCCCCCAGGCGAGCTCGTGCAGTTGCTATGCTATGAGCGTGGCCGTGAATGGGCGTGGGATGTTTCGCCGAGCAATCCTGACCGACACGCCTATCCCCCGGTGGGGGCCAGCGGATTCGAGTTCCACCGTAAGGCCCCAAGTGGCCAGATGGAGCATCAGGGTCAGAAGTGCGGAGAGAAAAAGGTCAAGGCCCGAGTTGGCTTCGCTGTGGCCACCTTCAACGTGCTCGCTCTCAAGGATGAGGAGGAGGGGTGCTGTAAGAAGAAGGCCGCCAAAAAGAGAGAGGCGGCGATGGCTAGAGCTGCGCACCACAGAGCCCAGTTCAGTCAGTTAGGATGTCGATTCGTGGGGGTGCAAGAAAGCCGTACGCCCAAGCGATGCAAGGTCGCGGAGGATTTCCTGGTCCTGTCTTCGGGGCCTGAAAAGGGGAGTCTTGGGTGTGAGCTTTACGTCAACCTGCAGGCTGTGTACGCGAAAGTTGGCGAGGTTGAACATCGGATCCAGCCCCGGCAGGTCCGCGTGCTGTGTTCTGACCCCCGCGCCCTCATCGTGGCTGTGCAGGCCAAGTCTTTCGACGAAAATGTTGCTGTGTTGCATGCCCCACACAGTAAGCACAGGTCGGAGGTGCGAAAGGCGTGGTGGGCCCACGCGCGTCAGTTGATGGCGCGATGGAAGCCGACCATCCTGCTTGCTGATGCGAATGCCTGCGTCGGCAGCGTTGAAGATGAAGGAGCGGGGGGTGTGGTCTGCAGCAGAAGGAGGATGGTGACGGAGGAGATTTTCGGGAGTTGCTTGATATTGGGGGCCATGTGGCTCTCAACGCGGTCTTGCCTCACGAGCAGGGGTGCACTTGGGTGTCGCATGCGGGCACCAGGCATCGGCTGGACTATGTGACCACCAGTGTGGCCTGGCGGCAGTGCGTCAAGAAGGTCTGGGTGGATTACGCTTGTCATTCTCAGCGACTCAAGGATGATCATTTCCCTGTCGTGTGTAGGTTTGAGTATCAGGTGGTCAAAAAAGTCAAGGCTCACGGGCCCCCCCGTATGGACCCCCGTAAGTTGTCCGACCCTGAGGTCAAAGGGGCCTTCGCTCGGGAGCTCAATGAGCGGCCAGTGTGCGCGTGGGAGGTCGGTGCTGAAGAGCATAGTGTGGCGGTGACTGAAATCATGTTGGACGCCGCTAAGAGGCACTTTGGCCAGGGCCCCTTTACCCCCTTTAAGCCGTATGTCAGTAGGCAGGTCATGGGGCTTGTTAGGCTCCGCAGATGGGGGGTCAAGGTTATCCCGGGGGTTAGACAGGGCAGCTGGGACATAGCACGTATCTTTGCGTGGTCTTTCGGGCCGCGAATCTCTAACTTTGTGCAGGCGCAGTGCGAGTGGAGCCACCGCGCGTGCTCCCTGGGGGAAATTTGCTCACAGGTTGTGGCGACGGTGTTGCCAGTTGCGTGCCTGGTTGATGCTGTCCGTTTTTTCCTTGATCAGACCCGGCAGGTGTTGCGCGACTGCATCGTGCGAGATCGTATCAGTAAAGTCGAGGACCTGGCGCGGGAAGTGATGAGCAGTCGTGAGGGCGGAGACGCCAACAATGAGTGGCAGAAGGCCAAGAGGGTCATCGCCACTGGAGGTTTCGAGCAGGCTCGGTATAAAGGGGCGAATCTTTTGCCTATCTATCGGGATGAACAAGGTCAGGTCCTCCGAGGGCCACAGGAGTGGGATGGGGAGCTTCTGAGACACTTCTCTGAAATTGAGGGGGCCCGTAGGGTGCATTTCCAGGAGCTTGAGGACATCTATGATAAGACGGCTCGTAGGATGAGTACCGACTTTCAAGCGGTGATTGAGTATGTCCCCGCCCGCGAGTGGCTCGTTGGGGCCATCCAAGGGGCCCCCAAGAGGAAGGTCGCGCCCAACGGGCTCTCGGTCGACGTGTTGGCCGCGGCCCCAGAGGCTGTGGCTCGGCACGTCCAACCCTTGTTAGTTAAGGTCAGTCTTACGGGGTTTGAGCCGCCGTCCTGGAAGGGGACCCAGTCGCGTGGGCTGTTCAAAGGCAAGGGGGACTGGGGGGTGGCTAAGCACTTCAGGTCTATCACCCTGACCAATGCCGTGCCCAAGTTTCACTATGCCTTCCTCAGACAGTGCTTGAACGCCTTCATTGAGAGTCTGCTCAAAGACTCCCAGACTGGCGGTCGGAAAGGGAGAGGAACTGCGCTGTCCACCCACACGATGTTGGCTTTCTTGCATCAGGCGCAGGCTGAGAAGTTCACGGCGGTGCTGCCGTGAACTTCTCAAGGACGTGGTCAGCGCGTTTTATAGTGTGATTCGGCAGTTCGTGGTTGATCTGCCCACGGATGAGGAGGAGAGGAGGAGCATCATTGAATCGGTCCCTATCAAAGAGTGGATGAGACCAGCCCTCGAGCAGACGATGCAGTCTCTGTGTATCCTCGAGGGGAACCCCCCACCTCAGTCGGCTGCTGAGCGAGAGCCAGAGAGCGACGTGGTTTCGGGTTGGCGAAGCATGTTGTGCCGCTGCCACGACCAAAGGCTCTAGGCCCGGCAATGCGTTTGCCGACTTTTTCTACAACACCCTTTTCGCTAGGACTCTGCACAATATCGAGGAGGATTTAAGCGATAAGGGTCTTTTGTATGAGTTGAAAGAAGCCCAGGTCAGCATCCTGCCTGAGTCGGGGGACGAGGCCCCCCCCTGGCCGACACTGCCTATGCTGATGATGCTAATTTTCCCGTGGTGTGTAGGAGCAACTCTGATGTGCTGTGGGTTGTGCGAACGGTGTTCTCGGTCATTGTCGCGCGCATGGCCCAAGATGGCCTCGTCATCAGTGTCGTGGCGGGAAAATCGCAAGCGATGCTCCAGGTCAACGGCAGAGACACAGCGTGGTGTAAGCGCTTGTTGTCGGTTGGGTTGCAGGGTCAGATTTACATCCCAAGCTTGCAGGAAACGGTTGGGATGGTGGCCACGCACAAGTCCCTCGGGACGTTGCTGGCTGCGGACGGGTCGATAGGGCCCGAGGTGGCCTATAGATGCGGCGCTGCTAGAGCCATCGCGGGAGCGATGTCTAGAACCGTATTCAGAATGAGAGGGGTCTCTCTGGCGGCTAAGTTGCCGTACCATGCGGCTCTCATCGAGTCTAAGATTATACATAACGCGGAGACGTGGGGAGAGCTGAGTGAGAAAAGCAAGCAGCAGCTGGAGTCGGCTTACTACGGGTTCCTGAGACGTGCTGTCAAGTGTCAGAGGCGAAATGATACCGTGTCGGACTCGGGCTGACGGAAAGGGGGGGGCAACAAAGGGGGGGTGAAGAAACGTGCCCTTTTTGCACCCTAAAGGGACCCTTTGTTGCATTGCACGTTTTTGTAAATCCTCGGCTCTTTCATCTGGCCCGACGTTCGTTGCGCGGTGAACGCCGTAGTGAGTTGTGCGTGGGCCACAGAGAGCTCTTCTCTGACCGACCCTAACCCACGGGTTACGCTGCGGCACACGGGCCGGGCGCGCGCGGCCGCTGCGCGCACCAAAAAGTGGATGCACTTTTTCGGTTTCTTTCATTTCGTGCAAAGCAGCATTGGGCCCCTTTAAGGACACTTTCGAGCCACTTTTTGACCCACGGGGGCAGTTTAGGGGCACTTCTGGGACACTTTCATGCATTGCAACTTTTGGCCGCCAGCCAGTTTCGCGCATCCAAATGTCTGCCTAGGTTGCGTTCGCCTGGTGTGTAGACCGCAACTTTGTTGCGATTTTTTCATTGCGCTTCGAGTTTGGGAGAGCCGCCGTCAGACATCCAGCGGGCATCCTGAGCGCCGCACACATTGCGAGACGGCCCGCCGCTTCCGATTGCTCAATCTGGGTTGCGTGCGGTACCCCCCCCTTTGCGTTGCCCCCCCTTTGCGGCAGGCCGACGGACGCCGAGGTTTTGCTCACGTGCCAGCGGGCGCTTCTTGGGCGACTGATGGCGTACAGGAGACTCAAGTACCTCGTGCGTCTTCTTCGGTGCGCCCCGCGTCAGCTTCTTTTCTTGCTCGACAGGCAGTGGGATGTCCGTGGCTCGCGGCCGCAACGGATAAAATATGACATCGCGTGGATGAGAAGGCATGCGAGGGAGGGGGCCACTCGAGTGTTGGGGGATTCTGTGGAAGCCGCAGTGGAAGTGGCCAGGAGCGGGCCTGATTTCTTCCTCACTTGTCTCCGCTCGGCCTGGAGGAGCTCGCTTGCCTGGGGGCGTGACCAGCTGAGGCTCACGGAGTGGCGCAGGGCGCTCGCGGCGGAAGCTGAAGGCGGAAGCTTGTCCCCCCCTCCCCTTTTTTGCGAAGGTCAAGTCCCCTGGAGGCTATGTGTGCTATGAATGCGGCTACGCCGCCCAAAGCAAGACCGGGTGGAAAATCCATGTCGCTAAGGCCCACCCTGGGCTCGGGCAGGTTCATCGTTTTTTTGTTCGGATCGTGTTGCCCCGCCTGTGGGTGGGAATTTCGCATTGGGATGAGACTCGGCAAGCATTTACGAAACAGAACTGCGAGGTGTCTCACGGCGATTCGGGCGTTTTTCAGACCCATGGGGGAGGGGCAGGTTCTGGAGCTTCAGAGGCTTGGCGCGCAGGAGGGCAAGGATCTTCGGCAGCGAGGCCTCTACCAGGAGAAGGCCCCGATCCCCGCCGTGAGGTCGGCGACCCCACTGGTCCCGCCCCAGGGCCCTGAGATGTGCGACCCCGTCGAGCCCCCCAGCGTCGTGGAGGTTCAGCAGATGCCCGGGATTCTTTAGGACGGCCAGAGCGTAGTAGGTTCCAGTACTACTTTATCCTGCATTTGTTCTCGGGTAGACGTCGGATGGGGGACCTGCAGGATTGGATCGAGCATTTCCAGACCCAGGCCCCCCAGGACATGCCTGTCTGGACCCTGAGCCTGGATGTGGCCAGCGCGCCAGTGTTGGGGGACCTCAGCGTCGAAGGTGCCATCGAGCACTGGCTGAAACTTCTGCGGGAGTTCTTGGTTGTCGGCTTGCTCGGGGGCCCCCCGTGTGAGACTTGGAGCGCGGCCAGGTTCAACAGTCTGGCCAACGGCATGGGTCCCAGGCCGGTGAGGTCCAGGGAGCTCCCTTGGGGCATTGAGTGCCTCATGAGTAAGGAAAGGAGACAAGTGGACCTCGGCAGTGTGTTGCTGAGAACCATGTGTAGATTCTTGGTGGCGTGCGCGGGGCACGACGCCCCCGCTATCATGGAACACCCGGCCGAGGCCCACTGGCGACCGCAGGCTCCCTCGTCGTGGTTGCTGGACGAGGTTCGATATATCCTGTCGTTGCCAGGAGCCGAGAAGGTGACGGTTGCTCAGTGCATCTACGGATGTGAGTATGAGGAACCTGCCACGTTTCTGACCATCCACCTTCCTTCTCTGGGGATAAAGGTCCGAGAAGGGCCTGGGGGGGGGAGGTGCAACCATCCTGGTCGGCATCGTCAGGCCCTGGGCCGTGGGGAGATGGGGGAGTTCCGAACAGCTGCGTTGAAGGAATACCCCGCTGAGCTGTGCAATTTGCTCGCTCGATGTATGTGGGAAGGCGTCGAAGACCAGGAGGAGGGTCGGCCCTAGGACTTGGGAGGTCCCTCAAGAGGCTCTCGGGCTTTAGATCCCCCTTGACCCATACTGTGATTTCGAGCGCAAGCATGACTGTGCCCGAAAGTGGGGCAGGGATGACAGTTCAAGCGAATCTGGCGGCGACCGCTAAACGGCGGCGGCGAGTGTGAGGAGGCCCCGCTTCGCGCCTTGGCGCGAGCCGCCGCCCGCCCGCACATTATCATCTTGCAAGTTGTATTCGATACGTTTCGAACATTCCTCATGCTGGAAACCGTAGAAGCCGTAGGAGGAGGAGGAGGAGGAGGACGAGGAGGAGGAGGAGGAGGAGGAGGAGGAGGAGGAGGAGGAGGAGGAGGGAGAGGAGGAGGAGGAAGAGGATGATGAGAAACAGGAGCAGGGGGATGAGGAGGGACAGGAATGGGACGGTGCACGGGGAGAGGGGGGTGCATGGTGGGCCCCCCGAGCCCTCTCACGCGGGTGCGTGCACGCGGCTCAGCCTTGTCAGGGTAGAGGCCGCCCCGTGCGAGAGTCGAAGCCCACGCAAGGCACGGCCTGCCCGAGTGCCGCTCGGATCGCGACGACCAAGGCCAGTCCCGCAAAGCTGAACACTTGGCCCTCCACCGGAGCGCGCTGCCTCGGGGAAGAGGGATGGGGGGAGGCGGCCGCCCCCCGCTTCGTCCGTCCCCTCGCCAGCAGCTGCCCTCTGTGGGCATCGCAGCGTCAGAGCCAGGCGAGTTCTGTCCGTGTGGGCCACACGCGCGCCTCTCAGCGGTGGCGGTGGGGCTGATGGTCGGCAAGGTGCACTGCTTCCTACCATGCGGCAAGCACTGGAGCCAGGACGAGTGGAGAGGGCAGTACAGTCCATTGCGGCTCCACGCATTTCCCGCACGCGCTGACCAGAGCGTTCCGTCGATGGCCCGCGCCGCCTGGCATGCCCAAGCACCGTTCTTTGAGCAGTACCGGAGGGGGAAGAGAAGCAGGATGAGGGGATAGAGGGGGATGAGGTTGCGGGCGGGAGGGTGGGGTTGGGAGGGGGGGGTGTGAGGGGGACGAACCCTCCAGGGCCCCCTAAACCATCCTGACTTGACCCCAGCGCGATCCCAATTAGGGTTTAGCAGTTCGACGCAGTCTTGAGTAATGCAAAGCAATGCGATGCACAGTATTGTTTGGCATTGCGTGGCATTGCTTGTATTGCTTGGTATGGCGTTGCGTTATTTGGAATTGTCTTTGCATTGCACGGCATTGCTTGGCGATGCTGGTCATTTCTTGGAATCGTTGTTTGGCATTGTTTGGCATGCTTGGTGTTGCTTAGCTACTCTTGGCATTGTGTTGCATTGCTTGGCTTTGGTTCGTATTGCTGTGCACTGCTTGGCGTTGCTTGGCTTTGCTTGGTATTGCCTGGTATTGCTTGGCACTGCATGGCGTTGCTGGGCGTTGTTTGATATTTCTTTGCATTGCCTGGCGCTGCTTGGCATTGTGACGTTGCTTGTCGTTGCTTGGCATTGCACGGGCAACCCCTGGACAACCCTCGGGTAACTCCGAGGACCGCCTCTCTCACCCACCAGCAAGAACCCCTTGGGCAAATCCTAGATAGGGAACTTGACACACCTGGCATAGAATCCTTCCCCTCTCCACCCTCCTCCCTCTTCCTTGTCCTCCGCCCCAACTAGGGGAACAAAAAGTGACACAAACATAAAAACTCGGAGGTCCGCGCGGATTTCTCGGATCGGCGCTGGACCCCCCTCCCTGGCGCGCCGGAGGCGCCGCTGGGGGGCCCCAACGCCGATCCGAGAAATCCGCGCGGACCTCCGAGTTTTTATGTTTGTGTCACTTTTTGCTCCCCTGCCAACGGCCCAGGAGGACTGCCTCCTTGGCCGCTCGGGCGCCGCCCGGAGAGGCGCGCGGCCCTCCGCGTGGGGCTGCCGCCACACGGGGCCAGCGGCCTCTCCCGAGGCCCTCGGCGCGCGAGGCCGCGCGGGGCGCAGCGTGGGTGGGGGGGTGGCGCGCGGAGCCCGTGGGGGGGGACCGAAGGAGGACAGAAACATCGAACACTGGGGGAGCGAAAGCACTGGGGGAGGGGGAGGGGGAGGACATGGAGGGGGGGGAGGCGGAGGGAGAGGGAGGGGGAGGAGGGAGGGGGAGGGAGAGGAGGAGGAGGAGGAGGAGAGGAGGAGGAGGAGGAGGAGGAGGAGGAGGAGGAGGAGGAACGAAAGCGCTGGGGGAGCGAAAGCACCGGGCGAACTCGGAGGTCCGCGCGGATTCTCGGATCCGCGCTGGACCCCCCTGGCGGTGCCTCCGGCGCCGCCCTTGTCGCGCTCCGCGCGCCAGGGATGGGGGTCCAGCGCCGATCCGAGAAATCCGCGCGGACCTCCAAGTTTCTATGTTTCTGTTCTTCTTCGTTCCCCTAGAAGGAAGTCGGGCATGTCTCACTACGGGAGGAAATAGGAAAAATAGTCAGGGGACGATTTTTTGACATGTTGTTTTGACATCTTTTGATCATTTTTGGACTATTCTTAAATTTTCGTCCAAAATCCTCCTGTAGGAGGACATGCCCGACCTACCCTGAGAACGCATGGCGGGCCCGTGGGCGGGACGGTTTTGCGGACCGCTGGGCTCGGGGCTAGCGCGGACGAGGCCCACGGGAGCATAGGGGGGGCGGGGCTGGGACGAGGATTACACCAGAGAAAATCCCCAATCAGTGGATGGTTTGAAATGGGATCGACAAAGACATCGACAAGGAGATCGACTGGGAACCCGGGAACCCGGGAACCCGGAACCCACCGAAATCGGCCCGGAATTTTGCAAGAACCAGGAACTGGGGAACCCGGGAACCGGGAACCGGGAACCCGGGAACCCAGCCGGCCACCCAAATCGGCGGGAAATTTTCGCCAAATTTTTCAATGCCCGCTAGGACCTCTTCAGTGCAAGCACTGATTGGGCAATAAATCCATTCCAGAGCTTTCCGGAACTCTCTCAGAGCGCTCCGCAACGCTCCGAGAAGGCCGCGGCCTCCCGAGACATCCTCCAGGGCCGCGGGATCTCGGCGTTGTTCGATGTATGCTCACCCGATTTTATCCTTGCTTTGGCTTCGTTTTCAGTAGGGATGGGGGAGCAGGGGGGCTGGGTCGGGCGAAGAGAACTATGCACATGCACTGATCCAGGCAAGGCCCATCCTTGACCCAGGATCGGTGCATATGCCTTCCTGGCCAAGGCAGGAGGGCGTATGCACCGATCCTGGGCTCAGGATGGGCCTGGCCAGAATCGGTGCATGTGCATAGTTCTCTTTCCTCTGCTGGGGCGGTCCCCGCATCCCTCTCCTTTCCTCTGCTCGGCGCCGGCCACCACGAAGGGCGCGGCCGCCTCCGTTCCGCGCCTCGCCCGCGGGGGCACCTCAGCCCAGGGCCGGGCGGGCCCCGTGCGCTTCGCGCCGTCTCCTCGTTGCAGAGGCCGCCCGGGTGCGTCCGAGAGAGAAGGGCCCCGGGGGGCTCGTCTTACGTCGGGCCTGTCCCTCTTCCCCTCCCCCTCCCCCTCCTCCTCCTCCTCCTCCTCCTCCTCCTTCTCCTCCTCCTCCTCATCATCCTCCTCCTTCTCATCCTCCTCCTCCTCCTCCTCCTCCTCACCGGCTTCTGGCGCCTCTTCAGGAGAAGTATTCAAAAATAGTGAAAGCAACAGCCTGGGGACGACTTGTTGTCTATTTGGGGCCATGTTGGAATCTGTTTTGCTTGTTTTGCTGTCGTCCAGAATCTTTTTGTGGACATGCCCGACCTAGGGCTTGTCAGAGGCGGCTCTGGCCCAGCGTGGCCCCAGCTCTTCAGGGAGGCCCCCCGGGGGCCGCACGCCTCACGAGGCTTGGGGCCCCAGGGGGCACCACGTGGCGCGAAGGGCTGGGGGCACATGGCCAGGACCACCTCTCGGTGGATCCAAGGTGGGGTCCTGAGGGATGGCCCAGGCCTCCCAGATGGGGCCGGAGTAGATGGGGTCGGAGGATCGCGCCGCATCGTCGATGCATCGGCGATGCGGCTCGATGTGGAGCCCGATGTTCTGCACGCTGGCGTCGCCGATGCATCGCCGATGCATCGGCGATGTATCGCCGATGTATCGGCGATGAGGCGCGATCCCCCGACCCCATCTGCTCCGACCTCGTCTAGGAGGCCCCTGGAGGGGGCTCTGAGGATAGGGCGGGAGCCAAGGGGTGGATTTCCCTTGTTCGAGGCACCTCGCCCCTGGGGCCTCCTCCCTCCGGACCCCCGCCTTGGGGACCGCCGACCACCGCCCGGCCCCGGACGGAGGGCGGCGAGGGCGAAGGGAGGCCCTCGGAGGGAGGCGAAGGCGAGGGAGGCCCTCGGACGGGAGGCGAGGGCGAGGGGAGGGCGAGGGCGAGGGAGGCGAGGGCGAGGGAGGCGAGGGCCCCCCGGACGGAGGGCGGCGAGGGCGAAGGGAGGCCCTCGGCCCGCGGCCGCGCGCGGCAGGAGGAGCGCGAGCCGGACGGCGAGCCGCCCGACAGCGACGGCCTCCCCGAGGAGGCCGAGGCCGCGGCGCGCGGGGGGCCCAAGCGCTCCCAAGCGCTCCCAGGCGCTCCCAGGCGCTCCCCAGCGTTCCTAGGCGCTCCCCAGCGCTCCCAAGCGTTCCCAAGCGCTCCCCGGCGATTTCGGCACGCTCCCAAGCGCTCCCAAGCGCTCCCAGGCGCATGGCGCTCCCAGGCGCTCTGAGGCGCTCCCCGCACGCTCCCAGGCGCTCCCAGGCGC